CCCCCCCCCCCCCCCCCCCCCCCCTTTTCGCCTATTTTTGTGCTGCGTCCAAACGAACCCACGTTTTTTTTCTTCAGGGACTCTCAACAGAGCAGCTGCTTCAACACGCCCGCGAGGGGAGAAGGTGGCAGCGGCTCCTCCCTGCCCCCGTGGGTGATCCCGAATGCTCGGGGTTCCTGCTCCGCGTCCTCCTCGCCGCTGGCACCGGGAGGGGTCGTTCCGCCGCAGGCGGCGGCCCGAGATATCTCCCAACAACACTCGCTGTCCGCAACAGCAGCAGCGGCGGGGGCAGTGGCCATGACCGCCATTCCAGACGGCAACACCGGCAAAGCTATCGGTGGTGCCGATTTGGGAAGAAGCTACCTTCAACAGCGGGATGGGGCATCGGCAGACATGACCGCCACCGGCGGCGGCGGCGGCGGTGGCGGCGGCGCTACTGCGCGCCGGGATAACACCCGGACGCAGCAGCAGCACGCTACCGCGGGCGTCGGAAGGGCTACTGCTGCAGCTGCTGCTGCCGCCGCCGCCGGGCCTCCTCAGGGTAGTGGCGAAAACGCGGGCGGGACAGCCGCGGGTAGCGGGGACGGGCGCGGGGCAGGGGCCTGGGCGGCGACCGATCCGGAGAGTTTCCTGAGGGAAAGCTTGAGCCTCAAGGACCTCGTGTCTCTGGCGTTCATGTTCAATTTTGTGGAGACTGGGGTGCTTGGACTGGGCGAGCGGAAGGCTGTTGTTCAGGTGCTGTAAGGCTTTCCGCGTCGATGGCCTCGAAAAAATGAATCGTCCCTAAAACCAATGCCATTGGGAAGAGTGTGGACGGCGTTTGTGCTCAGCGACGAGCGCCAATTCAATCTTGCACAGGCCTAGCGGAATTGTGACGATTGACTTTGCGGTTGCCATGCAGGAGTAGGACCCTGAGCCTTGCCTACTACCATACGTGCGTGTTATCATGGGGTCGCATGGGTTTGAATCGCGGCGTGGTGGTACTTGTAGGGATCGGGTGCGCTGTGATCGGTTTCACATTTTTTCCAAGGTATCAACATGTTCCGCTGAATCGTTCGTGGGGGTTGGTTCCTCCAACATGGATAACCGTAGCGCGAGGCCAGAAATCTTTCGTCGGGAGTCGACAAATCCTTTTGGTTTGACCACGTGTACACTTGGCTTTTGGTTCAGGTCGAGGACAGCGAGTGGAGCAAGCCTTTCAGCATGGAGACCGTCGGCGTGAACCAGGTTTGTTCGACTATGCATACAGCAGTGTGTGTCTGACATCCACCCGCTAGTAGCAAGCGCAGACGTCAACGTGTGGCATTGACCAGCCGAGCATGGGGAGTCCTTGGACGACCATTCAAGAAAGGTTTTGTATGGTGTGGACTAGTGCCACGATGATTCCCAATATCTAGCTCCACTCACGGCCGATTTTGTTGAGATTGTCGTCTTCGTTGCTGCGACAACCGGCCGAAGGCATTACGGCGGAACGTTTGTCCTATTCTACAACTGATTCGGTTCAAGTCGAAATGTTATTTTTTCATCCGGGGGCATACAAGATATGTGAACCCGAGTGCTCTGTGTACCAGGACTCCATGCGTGCAATGAATTTGCGCATGCTTACGTATTGCCGGCCGTTCTCTCCTCTATTGTTTTCTTCCACGTTCTGGTCGTGTCCGGTCAGGTTCTGAGCGTGCGACACCCGCAAATGGGCACCCTGGAGCTTGGGTTCACCATCGTCGTGCCGCCGGGCCGCCTGGGGCAGTTCACCAAAGTCGTGCAGTTTTGGCCGAGACTGCTAGTGGTCAATCGCCTGCCGCAGGCCTTGGTTCTGGAGCAGAACTTGACCCTCAGGTGCTAGATGTACCCATGTCACGTACAAGTCTGAAGCCAGATTGTTTTGTGCTTTTGCTTTAGGCCGGCCTCGTTTGACGAGGTTGCCACCCGCGACTCCGTTCCCTGTTTCTGACTGTCACGTAGAATAGCATCTTTGCTTTAGTGTCTCCGGCTGAAACGGAAATAGCTGTGCCTGCGCAGACGTAACCGCTACAGCATAACGTCACCGCGACGGACCCACAATGTTGCGGAGAACAGCAAAGATAGCTGATGATGCATGGTTGTTGCACGAGGACAAAGACCGCTGGCACAAGGGCATGCCTTGTTGAAACGCAAAACTGCTGCACCACAACACGAACATTACTTCTCCTTCTCTTGCCCGACACCGACCCTCATGACGTGGCTTGGACACCGTTTCGGGCACGCGACAGGCAACGCTCCGAGAGGGTTTCACAAGTGCCAGTCCCTGCAGGCAGCGGGCAGCCGTTTCACCTGCCGCAGACGGGCGGAGAGCGAGAGCTTCGCGTCAAGGTGCGCCTCCATCTTCGTCTTGCGAAACGCAACAAGAGTCGCGGCGCCAATCCCAGACTAGAATGGAGATCTTCGCGGCAACGTAGGGGGTTGGTTCAGTTGTACAGGGCGTCGAGGCTCGCCGAACGTTGTCCTTTTCCACCGTTGGAGTTACGTGAGGCGGAGGCGTCCTTGGCCTCGATGTTTGTTTTGCTGCTGTGCGGGGGGGGGCGTGCAGGGCGATATGTCTTCCCCCCGATAGCCTTCTACCTGTAGTTCCTTTTGCGTTCCCCGAAACGATATGTCAGTTTTCGTGAGTATCTCGACTCCATGACGCGCTTTGCATCTGCAGTGGGTGCTTTTGCTACTGAATAAGGTCACGTGCAAACGCTTTGGAAGCGCATTGTAGTTGGATCGCCCCTTACACGTCGTGATTTCAGCCGTGCTTTTGCCCCGGAATAGCACGGTCAAGAAGTACGTTCTTTTGAAGCGCATGATGGATTGGGTTGCCCGGCAACATGGTGGTCGTATCTGCTGGTGGCGGTTTGCTGTTGGTTTGTTTGTGTTGCAGGTGGAAGGAGGGTGGAAGCTCAGCGCGTCCTTCCCTGTGGACAGCGTCGGGGAGTACACGCTGCGCCTCACGCGCCAGGTGGACGTCAGCAAGCTCAAGCACATTTCCACACGGAGGTCTTCCGAGTATGACGTGGTGATTCCTCAGATGGAGGTGCGCATAGATTTGATGCATCTGTCTGTATTCCTCCTTCCTCTGTCAGCCCCTTACGACCCCTACCTAGAGCTTTATCCCTTACCCAATACCGCGGTTTCATGCTGACAACAACCAACCAACGGACAACGACGAATCACCTTGGTGGGGTGTCATGTGCCGCAGAGGTTGTGTTTGCTTCGTCTCTTTCTTTTCTAAGGGCTTGCCAGGCCGGTGGTGAATAGAGACGAGGTCGGTCAGTCATTCTGAGCCTCTCCGGTTGTGTTGTTGGTCGTTTACCTATATGACCGAGAAAATGTTCCCACACCGTAACGTCATGATGTTCTGCTGTTATGCTCTGCTGTTGTACGCTGTGCTGGTATGAATCGCATCATCCTTGCGGCCCTGCCCTGCCCTGCTTGCCGGGCCATGCCGTGCCGTACAGTGCATGGCTTGTTGTTCTTTAGAAGCTTGCAACCATTAACACACGCAGAAATACTAGTTGGGGGGGGGGGGGGGGCTGAACCATATTCACAAGTTTCGTTGGCGTAAAAAATCAATCTACCCTTGTGGTTATTCAAAGTGTTGCTTGTTGCTGCTGCTTGATCGGCCAACGGGAAC